AATCTTTTGGAAAAAATACCTTAATCTGAGGCCGTATCCGCGGATGATTGTGGCACGGCCGCCCCTAATCCGCAGGCACGTTCGCAGGTGCCGGCAGATCTCCCTGTATCAGATATTAAAGCGTGTTCACAGAGGGGCTTAGCTGCCATCAGAGCATTAATCACCGTGTCTGGCCCTGGCAGGCTGCCCACCCGGCAGGTGTCCGAGTCCTCTGGGCCCGGTAGTGCCAGCCTTGGCACCCCCTCCCCACCGCAGGGCCGTGGGAGCACAGAGCTGGCCCCGCTCTCTGCTCTGTGGCACCACACTCTGTGTTGAGGCGTGTGCCCTCCCTACCCACAGAATCTGGGCACCCTTTGGCAGGGAGGCAGAGCCACGCACCCCTCGCTGCCCTGTCTGCCCGTACCAGGCAGGTACGGCCTGTGCTCCTCCCCGGGGCACCGACACCACAGGGCCGCATGTCAGGAGATGTGGCAGCCCCTGCGTGAGGACGCTGAGCCGAGCCCGATGCCAACCCCAACACGTCTGTGCCAGACGCTGTCATCCTCCTGAACTGGAGGGGAAAAAGGTTTGTCCTCAGACACAAGCTGGGAGTCGGGTGCTGCCATGTGGGTCACAAGGGAAAAACACCCTCCCAGAAGTGGGCGAGGAAGCAGGCAGGAGCAGCGAGGGCTGGGAAGGGGGTTTCGGCAGGAGATGGAGCAGGATGCGGGGGTGCAGAGGCAGAGGGAAGACTCGTGGCTCTCTGCAGTGTCTCAGGTGCGAGGTCGGTGTTCCGCGCAGCAACAGACATCCGCCATCAGGCAGGAAGAAGGTTGCAAACACGCAACGTTATTTATTTCCAGAATAAAAGGACAGCAACTTCACAGGAGGACAGGAACAATGGGAGCTAATGCCCCCCTCTGTGCTCAGGTGGTGAGAGTCCACAGCTGTTCCCTCTTCTGCAGCTGTGGGATTTTTGATCCATGATCCATTTCAGGAACATTAAAGAGCGGGAAGCAAAGGACGAGGCCTGAGGAATGCAGCGGTCTTCCCGATAGCAGGGCAGGTACAGATGGCAGAAGATAAACCTGCCCCAAATTAATGATTCCTGGGGAGGGCAGAGGCCTCCAGCACGACGGCTGCACTTCAGGGGGATGCGTGCGATTACAGTTTCCCCAGGTCCCCTTCAAGGGTCCGCACCATCACGTACAGCTCGGCCAAGCCAACCACCGAGGCCACAATGACTGCCGACAGGACGCGCTGGGGACACAAAAAGAGAGGGACGTGATCCCGCGTGTGCCTCGAGCTGCTGCTCCTGCCTGGCTGGCACAGAGTGTGCCGCAAGCGGGCTCCGAGGCCACGGGCTCACTCACCGGCGCCGTCTCCACAAAGACGTACTGGCTGCCCAGGTATGTACAGGCGAAGGCGGCCACCACGGTGACAATGAAGTTGAATACAGTGATGACAACGGCTTTAACGGAGCGAACTGGAGAGAAGGGGGAGAGAGCGTTGGTTTCAGGTGAGGTTCGCAGTGTAGGGCTGGGGACAAGCTGTAATCCTGCTAATGGAGCCTGCCTGAAGCTGCCTCAGCTGGGCTGAGGAACACTCGAGGAGCGTGTCCAGAGGAGGCCACGAAGGTGATCCGAGGGCTGGAGCACCTCTGCTATGGAGACAGGCTGAGAGAGTTGGGGCTGTTCAGCCTGGAGAAGAGAAGGCTCCAGGGAGACCTTCTAGCAGCCTTCCAGTACCTAAAGGGTGCCTACAGGAAAGCTGGAGAGGGACTTTTTACAAGGGCATGTAGTGACAGGTCACGGGGCAATGGCTTTAAACTGAAAGTGGGGAGATTTTGATTAAATATAAGGAAGAAATGTTTTACAATGAAGGTGGTGACACACTGGAACAGGTTGCCCAGAGAAGTTGTAAGTGCCCCATCCCTGGAAGTGTTCAAGGCCAGGTTGGACGAGGCTTTGAGCAACCTGATGTAGTGGAAGGTGTCCCTGCCCATGGCAGGGGGGTTGGAACTAGACGATCTTTGAGGTCCCTTCCAACCCAAATTGTTCTATGATTCTATGATTCACATGCTTTATGCCTCCAGAAATATTTAAAAGTATGACCAACAGGCTGCTCGTTTACTCGAGGAACGCTTTTTTTGTGCGTTAAAACCTTCTGGTGAGATATTCAGAGAGGGAAGGGCTGTGTGATGGTGGCAGTGATGCAGCGGTTCCCGTGACTGACTGGTCAGTACGCGCTGCCAGGCGTCAGAACAGGCAGCCACTCACCTTGCCTCCCAAATTCAGCCAGTGTCCCGTTCATCTCCTGCAAGAAGGGATTAAAACAACTTGCCATCGATTGTATTTTAACGTTAACTGTGTAATAAAAGCAACACCAACGTCCTGTCCTGTCCCTAAGACTCGGAAGTTCAGAGAGCTGCTGGGGTGCCCTGGCAGCGGGTGGGGGGGCTGTGGGGGAGCAGCAATTCCACAGGGCCTGGATTTAGCCAGTGTCCCGTTCATCTCCTGCAAGAAGGGATTAAAACAACTTGCCATCGATTGTATTTTAACGTTAACTGTGTAATAAAAGCAACACCAACGTCCTGTCCTGTCCCTAAGACTCGGAAGTTCAGAGAGCTGCTGGGGTGCCCTGGCAGCGGGTGGGGGGGCTGTGGGGGAGCAGCAATTCCACAGGGCCTGGATTTCTCTGGGTTTACATTTGTGGTCCGATTCAAGGACGCTGGGAAGGGATCATTTCTAACCAAAACACTCTCAGAGCGTCAGCATTTCCCTCAGTGTGGGTTTTCTGCTGCAGGTTTGTCTAAGAGAGACGCTGAGGAGTCTCTCTTGTGTTCACACAGCGGGCAAGAACTGAATGTCGTAAAGCTCCGCGGGCTCTTTGTCAAATTGGACGTGGCTACATGATTGCAAACACCAGATACTGGGGGGCAGGCAGGGAAGAGCATGGTGAGCACACAGATATGGGAATACTCCTCTGATTTTATGTTGTTTGAAAGGAACAATAGTAGTCACTACTACTCAGCCCTGCTAAAACCACAAGAGTTTCTGCAACAGGAGGATATGTACAGGGACTTAAACGCACGGGGACATCAGTGTGGAGGAGGGATAGGCAGGATGGGATCACGAGGAAAAAAAGACGCTGGCTTGTCCAAACAGTCACTGTGCCAAAAGATCTCATCTCTTCCTTGGAAAGAATGAGTGGCCAAACATGACCCTGTTTTTTCAGCTTTTACCTTGACATGAATGATCTCATTTTAAAACTATGGTGAAAATGCAACCGTTCAGAAAAAGGCAGCACCACTGCTCCCAGAAAAACATTTACTGTGGGTGCTCAGTCTTCCAGATCAAAACCTGAGATCCTGTGAGCTGTTCCCAAATGTCAGTATCTCTCCTGTTTCACCATCCTCGTTACCCTGTCCCACCTCTGCCCTCAACACTGGACATGTTGTCCCTGTGCGTTTACAGTGTGCTCTCCCCAAGTCCCTGCCCATGTTCTCTCTGTACTGCACTCACTCTACGGGACACATTTCCTTTGCCATCCATCAGGTTGCTAACAGCCGTGCTTTTGCAGAAGGAATCCTGACGGCAGGCAATGCAGCAGGCCCCTCACCTGGCCGGTGATGTTGCGGGTCATCCGCCGGTACTCCTCGTTGGCCA